CAAATAAATGTATTATCACAGTTTTATTATCTTGCTAGTAATCAAATACTCATCTGTTGCTACTTTAATGCAATTGGTGATATTGACTCCAGAATAAAGAAAGGGAATTAATCTAAATGATAGTAAAATAAAAATAAAATTCCAGTTTTTATCAAGAAAGTGCACAGTAATTGATAGATATCCAAGTTGCTGAAGCGATGTTCAAATATCACAAGTTAGAGAGATTTTGTCTTTTGCACTTTGAAGAATTTCTTTGATATAAGTCTTTCTTTTGTCATATGCTTTCATAACATCTCGTTTTACTGTATCAGCACTAATAGTAAAGTTGGGCACTAATCTATTAAATAACATTCAAAACCCTTACTTTTCTACGAACTGAAAACTTAGTTCATCTCTAATTATTATATCAACTAAGTTTTTTTGGATTGAGTTGTTTGAAGGCTTTATTAATGGACTAAACTTCAATTGTATTTAACCTTTAGGTAGTTCTGCTGAACCATCTTTTGGAACCAATTTTTGATACTTTTTGCATGATTTGAGGTGATGGTGAAGGTGAGACATTCTAGTACTTTTTTTATGACTTAGTTGGTATTTACAATAATTGCAGACAGCTTTTTCTTTATTTGTTAATAAAGAAAAATGTGCTCAGACAGAAGACTTGATTTTTTGTGAGTCAACTGAATTGGTAGTAGATGACTCTGGTACTTCTGATACAAGTAATGTAGAAGCAGAATCTTCAGAACTTCTTGCATTTGCAATATCTTGATCATGGCTATTTTCATCACGATAATTCTGATTGTAGTTATCCTGATTATAGTTATCCTGTTCATAGTTATTCTGATCATAGTTATCCTGATTATAGTTATCCTGATCATAGTTATCTTGGTCATGGTTATCCTGGTTGTAATTATTCTAGTCATAGTTATCCTGATCATAATTATTCAGGTCATAATTATCTATGTCTAGTTCAATAATTTTTTTGTTTTTTAGCTAGTTTTGTTAATATTTTTTTTTTTGTTAGTTAGATTCTTTAGTAAGTTTGGTTGATTTTTTAATTGGTTTTATTAATGGTTTTTATTTATTTTTGATAGTAAGTTCTGAATTAATAGTTTTGTATTAGATAGATTATAAATAAAATTTAACTCTTAAAAACTCTTAAAATTTCTTAAATTCGATACTATTGGTCTCTGACATGTTGTAAACCCGATTATGAATAAAGTTATTACTCTATATGCACATCATTTTAAATCATATTAAATAAGTTATAAATAAAGCGTAACTCTTAAAACTCTTAAAATTCCTTAAATCTAATACATATTTGTCTTCTTCATGTTGTCAACCAGTTTTTGAATAAAGTTATTACTCTATATGCATACTGTTTCAGATCGTCATAAAATAAGGTTTTCTCATGACATGTTATTGCTATTACTTATTTATTCATTATCATTATAATTCTCTTAAAAACATCATTTTTAATTTTATTTATTTCTGTCGTATTGTAAACTCGAATAAACCTGATTTAAAGTTATGACTCGAAACATGCATTGCAACCAGATCAGTATAAATAAGGTTATTATTAATAATTTGATCAAATAGGAAATTATCTACTTGCCTTTTTTAAAAAATTGTTAGAAAGTAAATACTATGTATATTTTTGTTCTTCTTAATAATTTATGTCTATAATTTTATTTTTGTTGTGCGTTTGAAAGTTATACATACAAGAAATCAAATTTGATTGGCTTCATTTATGCATTTATGTTCATGTAACTTCTAGATGTATAATATTAATATTTTTGATAAATACCTGCTAAGATATGAGCCAGGCATAATAATAACTAAGCCCTACCCTCATATGTAAGGGCTTGATCTTCTAGCCCTTACTCTTGCTTTAGGGTTCAAAAATTAATACCCTAGTTCAGCCTTATGATACTACTTATAGGTACTCATAGGTAGCCTGAGCCCATGTGAAGGCCTAAGTATTCTAAAGTACTGGGGTTATGCTGTGAAGTAAATGCTGAGGTCTAAGTAAACTCTACAAGGGCATAGTGGTTTAATGGTTAGCTCTGACCACAAGTGTTGGTTCTGCCATAGCAATATCTAGATTAGTTGTAAAAATGGGTGCAGAAGGCTCTGAAGGGTTTACCTCAAGAATAAATTAGTCCTAAGGTTAAGGATGATGATCTGGTACATCTGAAATGATCAGTGATGTTAATACAGGTTACAGATTTAGAGGATTTAAAGTAGAACATCCAAGCAGGAGTGTTAGGTATAACAATTAGTGGGAAACCGTCAGGCAGACTTCTTAAATAGGTAATATAGAAAAGTTACACATGCAGCCAATTGTATGCTCTCCTGTAGTAGTTCATTGAACCACAATACCGATAAGTGATTAATAAAAGTCAAAAGACCAAAGAGGTCATCTTAATAATAAAAAAAAAATAAAAATATACAAAGTTACCAGAATGCCCATTTAACTAGAACTCATCTCGTTATAAATATGCTTCAAGCAACTAACTCAGATCTATCTTGTCTTCAATGTTATTGGCCTACTCACACTAGTTCTCACTCCTCTTTTAGAAAATTTTGGACTTGGTATAGAACTAACTTCCATGCTGAGTATTATATTTCTAAAACTCAGAAAAACTTTGTTCTTCTTACCAACTATCCTAATCGAATCACACTTTGCCTTTGTGTTTGAGATATTATTTTTAGTTACTGTTATCAATCTAATACTTTTAATCCAAAAAAAATTGCTTTAGCACTAGTTCAAAAATATATACCATTCTTACAAGTTTCTATCTTACCTTTTGAACATCAAAATGCTTTTGACCTTCACATCAACACACTTTAAAGTTTTAGTTTTGAAGAACCTGGTCAATTTAGTCAACATTTAGAAGATCTAGAAAGTCCTATTCTACCTCCAACTGAAGAATATAATATAACCTGTACTGCTAATATTCTACTTTTAACTAACTTAGTAGACAGCCTATCCCCTTATAATGAAATAGCTACTTCTACTGAACATTCTGCTAGTCATTATATTCCTCTTGATTCACCTCATTAACAGCTTCTTTTAATTAATTCTCCAATACCTTCTTTACTTATTTCTGATAATATTAAAACTGAAGAATATATTACTGCTTCTGTGGATCTTACAGAAACCTTTAGCTCAAATCATACTTCTATTAACTCACTACTATTACAGGCTTTTGAAGATAGTTCTTCTTCTTTACCTTCACCTCAACTTGCTCTTTCTCAACCATAGCCTATTTTAGTTCAACCTCAACTTATTGTTGCTTAACCTCAACCTCAACTTCTTCCTCCACTTTCACCTATCCTTGACAACTTTCCTAACCTACTTGATAATAAGGCTAACTAAGCTTTACAAAATGCAGCTACTGCTATTAATAACTTAGCTACTGCTTTAGGATGTAGAAATGAACAAGTCTTAATGACTATAGAACCTTTTCAAGATGATGGTACTTAAGACCTACTTATCTGGCTTCAAGAATTTCAAAGAGCTGGTACAGCAAACTGTTGAAATGCTGCCTGTCAATTAGAACTTGCTTCTGTATATATAAAAGGCATTGCTCTAGACTGATACCAAAGTTTGAACCCTTAGCCTAATGTTTACAATGATAATGCTACTCCAAACAAGTTTTAAACATCTATTTAAAGCTTAATTTAGTATTTCTAAACAAAAAGCAGTCTGGTAAAAACAATTATTCAATATTAAACAAGAAACAGACAGTGTTAATGCTTATATAAATAGGTTCAGATCTCTACGAAAAAAGTAGACCCTGCTATAGTCTTTCTTGCTACTTTTGTTACTTACTCTTTATTCAAGGATTATAACCAGAATATGCTATTAATGTTCAAGCATCTGAACTAGCAGACCTAGATGCTGCCATCAATACTGCATGATGATGGGAAACTGGAAAGCTTATAGCTACTGCTACATCTTCAGAAACAGACCAAGCTATTAAGCAATTAACTAATCAAATTGCTCAACTTAGTATTAACCTAGCTCAGCAACAACAACTTGCTTCTACCACTTCTGTAAACTATGCTGAAGCCCCTACTCAAGCATCTCAATTTAAACAACCACCTACTTGTTTTTATTGTAGATGCACTAGACATTTTATTTCTAATTGCATTACTAAAAAGAAAAATAGAGAACGAAGACAAGGCTCCTATAACCAAAGACCTACTAGAGATAATTGACATAATTATTTTTGATCTAGAAGTTAAAATCATTCTTGAAATAAAAGCCAATCTTATAAATGAAACTACTATTTGTCAAATTATCAAAGAAATAGAAGCTCTAAACACTCTAGATAACTCCTCTAACTGATCTTCTTCTCCATATTATTATAATATTTATTATCTTAATCAGAATCAGATACCTTCTTCTTTTTTTTCAATTAGTTCACAAAAATGGGAAACCTTGTTAGCCAACCTTTCTATTCATACTGCACTTTCTGCATATTTAAATAAAGAAGCTAAGAATACCAATATCATTACATCCTCTACTCACACTACACCTGTTAAATGCAATATCCAATTTAGAAACAGACCTTACCAAGCTATTATTGACAGTAGTGCTTCTGTAAGCATGATTGCTTACAAGGTAATTAAGGAATTAGGATTAAAAATCAAACAAGCCTTCTCTAGTCTTATTATGTCAGCTACTGGTAATTCTACTAGACCTTTAGAAGTCATTTAAGATTTACCTATCACTATAGACCAAATTACTATTCCTGTTACTGTTAAAATAGTAGATGTTACTTCATATTCTCTTCTTCTTGGCAATGACTGGTCCAAGAAAGTCAAAGCTAGTTACAACTGAAAAAATGGATGCTATTCCTTTAAGTGAAAAGGTAAAAAGCATGCCATTCCTACTACTTATGAAAATAACCAACTGCTCCTAGCTCAACCTATTGTTACTAATTCTGATAAGCTTGAGCTTTATGAACAGAAATATCTTACATCCTTAGAAGCATATACTCTTGATGCTGAATCTGTTAAACTATTTTCTAGCAATAATTCAGAAGAATAGACTGTTTACCAACCCAAGCGTAAAACCAGACAATCTAAAGCACATGTGTATGAAAACTGTAGATCACCAAATTATCTTTTTGCACAATGTCCTACCAATCTTTGTAATTATTGCTAACAATCTGGACATATTGCTACTCACTGTCTTTAACAACTACCAAAAAGAGCCAGCTGTTATACTTGCAATCAACCTGACCATCTCTTTAGAGTCTGTCTACAAAATATTTGTAACTTATATAACAGTTATAGATATATTAGCATTGATTGTTCTTTGGCTGATCTTCAGAAGCAAAACTATTCATATAAATATGGCTGTAACTCTGAAATAGTAGAATCTCAAAGACTACTTCATTATAGTTATAGATATACTCACCACTGCTAACAATCCCATGTCCCAGAAAGACCTGAGTTTCTAAGAGCTCTTAATAACCAACTTTTCTGTCATGCTTGCTATTTTGACTTCCACTATGCTCTTGATCGAAAAGACCCTCGAAGTGTTTATTTTTATACACAAGGGGAAGGTTGTGGACTACTTGTAGAATATAAAGTATGCCAAAAAGCAGAACCTTGTTCTCAAATGTACCAACTAGAAAGCCTTAGTGAAGAGCTTTGGTTTTGTGAGCTTGAGCACTTATATGCTTATAAAGCCAGTCAGGATGTTCTTTATAATCCTAACTATAACTTATAGACAAGAATTAGATATTATAC